GGGGAGAGGCAGAGAGGGAGTCAGAGAAAGAGAGAGAGAGAGAGAGAGAGAGAGAGAGAGAATCCCAAGCAGGCTGCACACTGGCAGTGTGGAGCCTGATGTGGCGCTTGAACTCACGAACTGTGAGATCACGACCTGAGCCAAAACCAACAGTCGAACACTTAACTGACTGAGCCACCCAGGGGCCCCAATAATTGTTGTGCTAGAGCATTAAGTGCTATTAGATGCTTAAAGTGGAAAGATAGGTGTGAAACTCAGGGTGCCCCAGTATTACTAAGAAGGCACCTAAAAAGAATGATTTGTGCTTGCTAACTTTGGACACATCAAATATTGAATAAATAATTTCTGCATCTCATTGGTATAAATTTTTATTAGTTCAATTCTAATAACAATGTAAAACGTGTGAGCAGTTTATTTTTTAACCATGCAATAACCATACAATGGTCTGCAATTCCAGTAACACAGGTTTGTCAGGTTAGTGGAAAAAACAATGACCTGACTATATTTAGAGCTGTATTAAAGGGATTAAGTTCTTGATGGGCCTAGTTTAGTTGTTCATCTGGTATTGAGACTCTGCGACTAAAGATTCATGCATGGAATTGAGATTTAAAGCAGCCATAAATTAGGTGTCAAGACAAGTATCTGCTCGTTTGTAGGAAACATAACCGTTTCTTTGTTAAACCCAATGTTTTATGAATATAATGTTTGGTCATTAACGCCATCATCTTTCTTTAGTACCCATAGCATTTTAGCAAAATCAACTGATGCCATAAGGATTTTCCTCCGGACATATGGAAAAAAAAGAGATTAAGAGGTCAACACTGATTTTTAAAAGCAATAATAATCTAATAGTGAATTCCAAAAAATAGCAATGACATTTTATTTTTGAAAATGTAAGCTTTGTAACCTCTGCTATTTCAATCTCTGATAGGGTTAGACCCTCTCACCCATCCAAAAATGACCCACAACCCACACGTTATATTCTGTTTCAAAACTCACGTAATGATTTTGGCCTTTTTTTTTTTTTTTTCAACGTTTATTTATTTTTGGGACAGAGAGAGACGGAGCATGAACGGGGGAGGGGCAGAGAGAGAGGGAGACACAGAATCGGAAACAGGCTCCAGGCTCTGAGCCATCAGCCCAGAGCCTGACACGGGGCTCGAACTCACGGACCGCGAGATCGTGACCTGGCTGAAGTCGGACGCTTAACCGACTGCGCCACCCAGGCGCCCCGATTTTGGTCTTTTTTACTGAATCGCACAACTGTGGTCCATTCACATTTTATCCTAGTATTATAATACTGTAATTCAACTCAACAGAGTGCTATAATAATCTACAATCTTTTACCATATATGATAGCTTTCTTCATCTCTTTCTTCTTGGTTTCAGTGCCATTTATCTAAATTGGGGATTATTTTCTCCTCATTTTTCCACAGTCTTCTCAAACTGCCTCCTTTTCACTTTTCTCTTTTACTATTTCCCTCACCCCTGCTTACTTATATCACGTTCCTTAATGCAATTTTATTTTATAACACCGTAATAATGCCACGTAGTCTCACTAAGTAAGGCAATTCTCGAAGTATGGATTCAAGAGAATACTCATTAAAAAAAATCACATGCCTACCATTGTGTTGGTTGATGGTACTGATTTTTCTCACTTCCATTGTTCACATGTATCTGTCGCAAAATGAAGGCGAGCACCTTTGAGGAACGTATTTCTTTCCAGAGGTGTTTAGGTTGGAACTCTAAGATATATTTCAGGACCCTACTAAGAGGCTTTAACCAGGGATTGTGGTGGATACGGCAGACCGAAGCCCAAGGGCATAGCCACATCATTATGACAATAGTTGAAGTTGTTAAGAAGCTCAAGGACCAACAAGTGAGAATGTAATTCTCCATCAAGATTGCCAGCTGTTTTTAAGTGTTTAGAGACCAAGATGAAGACCGCGAGAATCAGTGGCAGATTGTCAAAGCAGTGATGCAGAAGTCTACCATTACCATTACGAGCCACAAGAGGTACAATTGTGTTTCCTGCGATGATGAAATCGTAGTTGAGCTCATTGAGAGCTTTGGCATAATTAGTTTGTGAACACTTCTAGAATCTAAAACTTTTTTTTTTAAAGGAAGAATTATTTGAATATATAGCAAATGAAATAGTGTCTATTTGTGAGCGAAAACTGGGATAGAAAATCATTTGCACAATTCTCTTGCTGGCTCAAACATTCTTAATTAGATTTGTGGGTTATATAGTGGAATCGGTAAAGGGGCATACTGTGAAAAAGAAATGTAGGAGACAGAAAGTTTCGCTCTAAAATGTTTTATTTTAGAGCTGAATGTAGATATGTGTTTCTCTACTGGCAAAATTTAACAAGGCAGAAACATTTATCAGAATTCTTATTTTTAAATCTACCTCCATTCAAGGCAGTTTTAAAAATTATGACAGTAATCTGAAACTTGAATTTTATGCAAATCTGTCTAAGCTTGGAATAGTTATGCTAATTCTGGAAGAAACATATTATCACTTTTATTCATCTTACTTTTTGTATCTTTTAGTGAAATTAGACCCTTTTTATTAAATAACAAAACTCTTACTTTCAAAATGACAAATAGATTCCTGGCTTAAGGTGGGCTATTAAAATAACCCTTGCCTAAGCAACAGAATTATACATATTCCACCCTACCTTATATAATAGTTTTCCTCCTAAAATAGTCTTTCTAGACTCTACTAGGAGATTCAGTGTAGGGTTCCAACAGGAAAGTTATATATAAATAAGGCAGTAGTTAGGAGTATAGGCTTTGAAGTTGGAAACAAATGGGTTCAAATACTAGCTCTTACATATACTAATAATACAACCTTAGATAAAAAGTCTAGAGTCATTTTTTCCCTGTAAAATATGAATAACATTATCTAATACCTTGAGTTGTTGAGAGGATTACACACGATAATAACTACAAATTTCTTAACACACTACATGACATTTAGTAAGGATTCAAGAAATAATAACTATTACAATCAGAATTGTTGTTAGTCTTTAGTTATTCTGATTCCCTGCAGCTCACACAAAGCTACCCCTCCCTCTTTTTTAAATATAGGTTTACCATTTAGTAGAGTCAAGGTAATTTGGGATACCTCTATTTGAAATGGTTGGTTGAATTTGCCATGAATGATAAGGTCTAAGATGGCTCTCATTGCACAATGTTAGATAATTATCTGTTAATTTACATTACGTGATGCTGTTTTTCCTAAGATATAACTTTGGTTTAGCTTTTTAAATAGACTTCGTGGAGTCAGAAGCCATATTTTGGTAGCCGTATTTTGGGAAGCATTTTATACATGGTAGAAAGATGTACTAGTCTAAGAATAGCATTGGATGTAAGTGAAGAGATTGATATTATCACCTGGGATCCACAAGACCATCTTGTATAAACATCTTATCTGGCAGATGATATCACTGGGAATCAGAGGAATACAATGATTTGATAAAATGACTAGAGCTGTAACTGGAATACGGGACTCTTGACTTTTGGTTCTGTAGCGTATGGCTCCTCTTGACAATCCTTATTTCCTTGAGTATTGTATGAAACATCCATTTAAATGTGCCCATATAAAAATTTCTTATATTGAATGCCATTTCCAAAGGACAAATGGTAGGTATACTAGTCTTATTTGAAATATTTCTGATACTATTCAGTTATTAGAAACAAGTGTTTGACTCTATAAATTCCTATAAAAAGGAGGTCTAGTCTAATGATTAGTGATGAGACGGTCTTCTTTCCAACCTTGATGGCTCTCTGGGTTACTCCTAACTTATTTTTCTCATTTTAGCTTACGTTTTAAGTCATTCTTGGTTACTCAGTACTTAGGAAATGCTAAATGTCTTCAGAGTGCCATCAAGCATGGTTCCATCAGCATATCTGGAGGTGGCCCAAAACCCCAGCTCCCTGCGAAAATTGCCATGATATCACCACCAAGGCTCTATCTCCCTAGGATAAATAGTGAACTTCAGTTTCCATTGCTGTCCATTTAGTGCCTAAAATGAATGGACACACATTTTTTAATCCTAGAGTCGAAAAGCAATGGAAAAAAACTACTGAAGTAGTCCACTGCTGAAAACAAGAGGTTTATACTTAGGGTGGAAACACATTTCTGGGATTTTATTAGAGGTTATGCAACCAATTTTGACTTCAGTTGTATCATTTACTTTAATGTTAACATGATACAAAAAAGATAGGGTTGAGTAAGTGGAAAATATAAATCAAGGCACCTGGCTATTTACATTGTGAGAATAGAACCAGGATTAATATGCTAAATGGTGTTATGTAAAACCAAACTATTGAAATCACACAGATGATTTAAGTTGGGTTAATATCTTGAAGCTGTATTTTTAGTGACTTATTAGGGCATGAATTATTTTCACCATGTTAATGACTGACAAGCTTATCAACAACTATGACGATAGAATGGGAATATTTCTTGAGGTGGTAGGAAATGAGATAAGTGGTTTTAGGTCTGTTGAATTTGTGTCAAAATTTTTTGAGTGTGCATTTTGTAGGGTGGGTTTGCATTCATATTGGTTGTGTTATTTAGAATGTGTTTCAGGGCTATGCAGGTCTCATATGGCACATCGCATTCTATAATAATGTGTCTCTCATTTCATGACCCAGAAATCCACATAAAAGCCCCATAAATCACATATGAAACTGATCTGGGCACTCTCACAGAGGTTACGGTATTGTATATAATACTACATAGTATGAATCGAGACCCTGCAAGACCTTTTTTCTTCCAGTAAAATGCATTGTCATACATTGTGATCAACACCTCAAATGCTAATTCCTTGAGTATAATCTTCATAATAATCTAACAAGGTAGGCCTTATGCCCATTTTATGGAAAAAGGAAATCAAGGCATCAGAAACTATCAAGAAATCAGAAAGTATTGTAGACAAACCTGACACCAAGGCCTATTCTTAATCAATGCTCTATATTGTCTGTTACAGGTATCAAGCCTTGACTCCTTCTGCATTTAAAAATCCTTCTATCTCATTGGCTACCTTTGCTCTCATTTCTAATTGGAACTAAGGGTCAGTGTCCATTCTTCATTCAGCTATCTTGAAGGAACAGGACGATTTCTTACCTTTGAGCCTAGCTCTGAACTTAACTGTTCTTAAAAGACTCAGAAACCTTGTGTTAGAGGGACCTTCTATTTGTGGGGTTGTTATTGTTGTTTAGTTGATTTGGAGAGGGATGTTGATCACTTTTCTAATCAATTGACACCTGGGAAGTCAGCATGACAGAGTAGCACGAGCCAACGTACAGGGTAAGATCAAAGCAGATTCAAATCCTGGGCCCAGTACTTGTGGCGTCATTGCTTCTGACACATTTTAGTGTCTCCCTGAGCCTCCCAGAAGATATGATTTCTATAAAGATTCAGTGAAGGAATATGTACCAAGATAATTGGGAAAATTAGTGTCCGTTCTACCTAATTGGTTCAAAGCTTAAAAATATTATCTCTGTCATTATTTATCACTGAATACTTATTCTACCTGTACACACATAATCTACATCATGGTGTATTTGAACCAGGGACCATGTCAGACTTTCTGTGGCTGTTGGAAATGGAAGTGACACTAAGACCATGTCCAGTATGACGGAGAAATTTAGTGTCTTCAGAAAATTCAATCATTCTCCTCCATTCACCTCCCTTCATAATCCAAGCAGACCCATCTGACTACTTCTGGCCAATGGGCTGTGAGGGGAGTTAACGTGATCTCTTCCAGGTAAAATGCATTTAAGAGCTGGTATGTGGTCTTTCAGCTCCCTCCCTGGATGTTGATTGTTCCTCCTGACATACCCGCAAGATAAAAGTAGCCCAAATTCCTGTGACATCAGTTAGAAGCTACCAAACCTACAAAGGATTTAGTCTATGCAATCACTAAACCTTTTTAATTATCCTGAGATTCTGCGGTGTGTTTGTGATTGCCACACAGCCTAAGCTAATGTTACTAATTCACGCAGCCTCGGGAGAAGTCTGTTTTTTTTTTTTTTTTTTTTTTTTTTTTTTTATGTGATAGGGATACAGGTAGCTAGAAAATATTAAGAGGAGTTGTAGTAGATTGCCAAAGTAGTCTAAGTAGACAACTAATAGGAAAAGTCACTGTTGTCAGGAATAATGTGGTTCTTTAGAGACAGACAAACATTTTTTTTCTAACATTAAAAAAAAAGTATTTTTTTTTTTCTTGAGAGAGAGAGGAAGAGACAGAGTGCGAGCAGGGGAGGGGCAGATAGAGAGGGAGACACAGAATCCAAAGCAGGCTCCAGGCTCTGAGTTGTCGGCACAGAGCTTGACGCAGGGCTCGAACTCATGAACCGTGAGATCATGACCTACGCTGAAGTCAGTAAGTCGCCAAACAAACTGAGCCACCCAGGTGTTCTTTTTTCTAACATTTTTAAAGCAAACCTTTTATCATACTGAATATTGTGCTATAGGATTAAACATTGATTCAGAGCAGCCCATGCTTGGTATACAACTCTTCAATAAAAAGAAAACTAGTTACATCATAATAGGTGAAGTTAATGCTTTGTCTAATCCAGGATCCACATCTTGTCTAGGGTCAAAAATAAATATTTTGAAGCAAGAGTGGGAACTCAAGTGTAGAACTGTTCATTACTGCATGTTGTCTGCAACAACAATTGAATTTACAAAAAAAAACGATTTATGAAAGTTTCATAATTCAGTTATTTCATTTACAATAATGACAAAATTGGAGTAATGGCCTAGCCACCCAACCAACATCGTAGCAACTTCCTTATCATCGGTGGGATAACTTGTATAGTTACTGGGCCCAGTAGGACAGTTGTATACTGGAATGCTTTAACTTCTCAGTCTTGTCTTAGTTTTCTGCCAAAATATTTGTATTTAATAAGTGTAGCGATGCAGATAAGTTTTGATTTCATATTCTCTATGATTTGATTTTGACTTTGCGGTTGATGACTGGATGACATTTAAAATAAAGATGTGATTCTTACTGATTACATTAATTTGATGACATTTTGGTTTTAATTGGAAAGGCCAAAAAGATATTTCACCTTATTCTTTAATTATACGTTTCCATGCCTAAAAGTTATTGTGGTTTTGTTAGTGATGATATGATAAATGAGCAGGATAATGGCAGAGTGGAGGACACCAGAAGGACTGTTGGGCTCAAAGTCAAGAGTCTTGTGTTTTGCTCCCAGCTTTCCTACAAATGCATGTGTTACCTGAGTGACCTTGGGCTGGTCACCTACTGGTTCTGGGCTTTGTTTTCCTTATCCATAGAGTGAATATACTAGTAGTCTCCATAGTGAAGCTCATAGGGTCAATGTAAATAACAGAGTAGCTAAAGCATGTGAAAATGGCTTAATGACATACAATGTTATATTTACATTTGTTTAAACTTGTAGACAAATATATAAATAAGTAATCGTTTATTTGGCAAGTCAATTCTCTTGGTTCTTTGTTTTCCAACTTCCGCTAAATCTGTTCCCAGTTTCCTCCTGCTGACGTTTCCTGACCTTTCACCCCATTCCCAAATCTGGACCAAGTGCTCCTTATCTATGCCCCAGAGAACCCTTTGCATAACTGCATTATAGCACTTACTGCATTACATTGACAGGATATGTGTCTGCTTGTCTCTTCTACTTGACAGTGAAGTTTCTGAGAGCTATTGCAATACACTTTTTATTTTTGTAGCTCTCATTCCCAGGATAATGCTTGGCAACGTTGTCCATGCTCTTAAATGTTTACCAAACTGATCATAAAGCTTGCAGACACTATGATGACTACTATATTTTTAAACAAATATTCTCATTTAAAAATGTTATTCTACTTGCCTGGTTGACAATTTATAATAAATAGGATGTTGCAATTTCTAGTTGGAAACCTCTTAATTTCTTAATTAGCTTCATACGATTTATGTTACACCTAGTAGAAAGCATTAGGAGAGTAATTATTTTTTTTTTCTGCTTCTAATATTACTAGGAGTATTTTTTGCAAAACATGAAAATTCTTTGCAACTTTTTCCTTTTCAAGTTCTACCAAGCAGTTTACAGAATGGCAACCTGCCAAATGGTGATCCATTTTCTCAAAAACATCGTTTGAGACCACGCCAACCAGGCACACTGAGCTTATCTACTGCATCATAGTAGAGTCACATAATTCGTGCAAAATTATGTTTGACATTAAATTATAAACCCTTAGCGTAATAATAAAAAAATAAATAACCCTAAAAGCAAATTAAAAATATGTTTTCACTGGAGCAGGTTATTAGCCCACTGGAAACTTGATCTGCAGCAGTCGATCCATGGGCATGCTTCCATTTCTGGAAGGGTTTGAAGTTTCTCTCTGTGCAGAGAAAAATCCCTAATTCATGAAAGGAAAATTAGCTAATAAAATAATTTTTTCCTCCTGAACTGCTCTGTTGATGAAAACATGTCCACTGCAATTTTAGAAATGAGTGACTTTTCAAATAAAGTAGTTCCTGTTGCCATAAACAGAAGGATGGTAAGGCCATTGCTGTTCTTTGCCAAAGGAAAGAGGGGCCAGCTGTATCCAGCTTTCTCTCTCTCTCTGCTGCAGTATTCGCATAAATAGTCTCTTCTTGGGACTGTACTAGCCCACATGAGAACCCATCAAAGAGAATCTGGGTTCTCTCTGGATTTGTACATTCTGAAGCCTCACTCAGAAAAGAAAAAAAAAAAGCACACACATGAAAACCCATAAAAAACTTAATGTGTTGAAAAACATCTCTATTTTATTATACCTACATTTCAATCTTTGTAACTGTTTCTGTCTCAATTGGTATTCTTAGTTGTTGATAGATTGCAGATTATAGATTACGATTTGAGTGGTATCTAAATGGTCATTCCTAGCTTCTGATATACAAATCCAGGAGTTTGTGTTCTGGTTAAAGTACAGCCCTCTGCAGTCTGGGCTGCCCTTAAGCTGGGATTAAATTATTATGTAGGCACCTTCCATGATCAACCACAATAACAACCATGCAATAACAACAAAGTTTATCTCCAACTTATTTATTTATGAGGTTTAATTTTAATTGGGTTTCTTATGAGTGTAATACTTACCCTTGCTTATTTGTAGTTAATAATTAGTATTGTTGTTCTTGTAGTTAAAACATATTTTTGCATCTGTATAAATGTTTATGAAAGATAACGTGCATTCCTTTATGAAAGCATCGAACGGGGGTGTGTTTTCTTAAATGTTACGAGAAATAAATTGAAGCCCACAGATCAGACAGCCTGCATTGATAGGAAGATACCAGTCTACATTTTACCCAAGGTAAGTTTCAAAATGATTGCCAGGTGACCTGCAAAATTGTAATGTGTTCTGCCAAATTCATTTTAGCATTGGGAATTAATTTTTCAATATGTTCTTGGAAGTAAGAGGTGAATTAATTATTGCAGGCACTATGATATCGTTGGAAGTCTGATGTTAGGCTGGAACCAGTAATATAATTGAACTTAGTGCCTTTATCTTTCAAGAGTTCTTTTACATGACAACACAGTATTCACACTGCTCCAAGGGATACCTTTGGCACTTCTACAATTCTAATTTCTTTCCATGCTTGCCTAGCTCCTTGTTGCTTCTTGGAACCCAAGTAGGATGGGGGTGGGGGGGGGTGGGGAGGGCGTGGAATGGAGCAGAGCTCAGTGTCTAGTGGCCTTCCTGAAGTAAGCCCCAGGTCCCTTGCTAGTTCAGCGAGCATTCGCAGGTTTTCCAGAGAGAGCAAGTGCTCTTCTTCATGAGGAATGCAAAGCTTTGCTGGGAGTTTCCATGCGACTCCGGAGAGGTTGAAGGTGAACTCACCCTCATCGAGGCACTAGGCTTGATCACGCACAGTCTCCTGGAAGAACTGCGCACACAGGCCTATGACGCATATGCCCAACGGTATCAGACCAGAAGCAGAAGACAGAATCAGGTGGTTTCAATCTTCCCAACAGACAGGTTTGGAATGCTGTCGAGTAATACACATTTGCCCTTGATATTAGAGATCCAAAAGACAATTTCAGCGGTGAAAATAAATCCCAG